TCCGCATGAAAATTACGTGAGTAACAACAAGCCGGGGTTCCAGGCCGCCAAAGTGTTACCTGACCTGGACAGGGGCTCTCCTGGGCCTGAAACCCGGTGCCGCAGGAGGGAGAGCTCCAGCGGCCTTTCCTTTACCTTGGTTTTCCGCTGGGTGTCACGGGAACCCACAGACGGCAGACAGAACTGTGTCGCTGATGCTCCTATTGATCTGTTTTTCACCAGCTTGAAAAGGCTTCTCAATGCCTAGAGAAACTTAAGACATTGGATGAAATCAAAAAGACTCTAACTGAGAGACGCTACCCCGGAGTGCCGAGGTTTGTGCAGGACATGGATCGCATCTTTCAGGGCCCCAGCGTAAGTGGCTCTCCCTGCTCCCATCTCCTTTTCCTTCCTTTGAGTCACTCTGCCTCATATCCTGGTGCCGGGGAATTTTAGAGTTTCCTTCATCCTCTGACAAGCCTACACAAGCAAGGGTTCAGGAGGTGAGTGGGGTTTTTAGCTGAGCATTTAAGCTCACCAGGGAGAGTAACAGTGAGTCAGGAGGCGGCCCGGCAACCAGACTCCAGGCGCCGGAGAGCTCATCCCTCTCGGTGCCCACTGAGGACAGTCCCGTCCTCTNTAACAGTGAGTCAGGAGGCGGCCCGGCAACCAGACTCCAGGCGCCGGAGACCTCATCCCTCTCCGTGCCCACTGAGGACAGTCCCGTCCTCCCTGCTGCAAAAGGAGGGGAGGGTTGCTTCCTAAACCATCTTGTTCCTCTCCCCAAATATCTCCGTTGGGCCGCTCACAAGTCCCAAACTGCAGAGTCCTTTGCGTGTAAATGAACCACATAACAGATCACCAGAGGGGAACAGAAGTGACCACGTGAAAGGAAGATCACTGATTGTGTGGAAACATCTGTAATAGGTGGTTCTTACTAAGACCTTAGATTCCTTTTCTAACTCTCACTGAGGGAAACGCCCCAAACCCGATGAACAGGGGTCCTCGGAGTGGTCATGATTTCCCACTTCCGTCCAGACCACGAGACACAACCATGCTCTGAGGAAACAAGTCGCTCCTAGGAAGGAAGTCTCTCTCAGCTGCTAGGTTTAAACTTAACCTGGTTAATGTGACTTAGGTGTTTAAGACGAGTCCTGATCATTTTTAATTGCAAGGTGTCTAATGACACTGACGTTGAGAGTCATTATTTTTGTCTGTTTTGTTTTTTTCCCCAGAGCAATGACTCAGATGGAATAGAGGAGGAATTTAAGAAGAATTTCAAAGAAGTCTTTGCTATTCAGAAAAGAAATTAAAACAGCTCCCTGGTGTGGTGGATGCTGTTAATACCCTGGACAGTCCCGCTTCAGGCAGATTTCTCATCCCCCAGCTGCTATGAGGCTTGGCTGCCGATGCCACCTCCCCCCGTGTATTGCTTTGGGCCAAATGGAGCCAGATTCACATGAAGGTTACATCTCTGTGTCCTGGGGGCTGCTTCCCAGCATCAAGGTTGAGTCAACCATGTGGAGAGACTCGCGATCCTGTGCTCCCCAGTGAGTCAGGCTGGAGTTAGTCTCCAGCTATGACCACGCCCTTGCTGAGCTTTTCCCACCATGGTACCCTGCTTCCCTTATCCCTCCTCCTGAGAGGACTCTCCCAATAAATCGCTTACTGAAGAGACTTTATCTCAGGCTTTGCCTTTAGGGAACCCAACTTAGCATAATGGTCTTAGCAAGCCAGCCCTAAGCATGGAGTTCTGAGATGGATCATTGTCTAGCCAGATGATTACAGGCACAATATTGATAGTCCCTGGGGTACTGGAACAGTGCAGTTGCAAAAACATTCACCTGTGGGAAACTGAAGGCGCGATAGGGGAAGAGGCACTGATGCAGTTGTCTAGCATTTTCAAAGAAAGAAATGGTAACTGTCAGAACTGTATGATGACCTGGCTATGTCTAACTCCACTAATATGCTAAAAAGAGAACCTAACAGCCTTAAATATATTAATTACTACCTGAAGCTGGAAAGTGGACAGTAAGGAAGGCCTGCTACAGGTCCGAATTTTAAGAATGGCGGAACTTCTGACCAGCTGGGGGGGCTCAGTGGTTAAGCATCATCCTGTGCATTGCAAGGTCGCTGGTTTGATTCCTAGACAGGGCACATACCTGTGGGTTCCATCCTTGGTTGGGGTGCCTATGGGAGGCAATCGATCAATATCTCCCTCTCATATAGATGTTTCTCTCTCTCCCTCCCTTCCTCTCTATAAAATCAATTTTTAGAAAACGTATCCTCAGGTAAGGATTTAAAAGTTTTGAAACATAACAAAGAACAGTGCTTTCTATGTTCATAAGTGGTAACCTCTCCAATACCTTAGCTGGGAACTAGGGTGTGGAGTGTTCAGGGGCAGGGGAGGCTCCTGGGCTGAGTCACTTGTCTGGCACCTTTCATTGCATTCTGCCAGAGCTGCGGGGGGCAGGGAGGACCATGTTTTGCCTCCCACACCTCCAAGGGCTCATCCACAGCTGCCTGTGTCTGGATGGGGAGGAAGATCTAGGACCCCAGCCTTGAGGTCTCAGGAGCACAAGTCTGAGCTGTATGAAGACACAGTCCAGCTTCTGGCTCATGTGGTGTCTGTGACCACTCCTCGGGGTCTCTGAGAAGGGTGACTGAGACGATGGCGGGTGCACTCTGCATGCCTATGTTCATGTCTGCTCTCGAAGTTTGTGCCAAGCCTGTGCCACAGCGTGCGACCTGGAGTATGTGCAGGAGCTGACTGGTTCGCTCTGCTTTTGCTTACTCAGGAAACACGAGGCAGCCCCTATGCGCCTATGCTACACTCCTGCCTGATGGCAAGTGGTGGCATCAGGTCTAACCTGCCCAGCACCCCAGTGGGTGAGGCTGCAATTTCCAGTACTTGGTTTGTGCAGGCACAGCTCAAGGAAATCATTATTCACTTACAGCTCAGCCTGGAACCAAGGCCCGTGGGCATGTGTGAGCCTCCCACTCTCACTCCCCATGGCTCCATATTCAGCAGGCTTCAGTCCCTACAATTGTTCATGGAAGGGAGTTTCATGGGCTATAGATGGCATGTAGGGAGGGCAGAGAGGTCTTCCTTCTCTGTGGAAGGGAGGGTCCAGATGGCATGTGGGGAGGGCAGAGGGACCTTCCTTCTCTGTGGAGGGGAGGGTCCAGGTGGCATGTGGGGAGGGCAGAGAGGTCTTCCTTCTCTGTGGAAGGGAGGGTCCAGATGGCATGCAGGAGAAGGCAGTGATGTCTTCCTTCTCTGGAGAGGAGGGTGCCATGTGTTACACAACCCACTGGCTGTTCTCAAACAGTACCTGTGGAAATGGTATCTGACCTCCAGGGAACTTTCCCTCTATTCCCTTTATGCCCCAAGATAAAATAAGATGGGTGAGTTTTCAACTTCAATGTAATCATCTTGAGAAACCAGCGGAGCCATGCTGGGCATGGTCCGTCTGTAAGCCATTCTACGTGGAGAACCTAGAAGCCACCTACACTTGACCAGCCTCATGCCAAGGTGAGACACTGGATGTCCCCCAGAACCTGGTGGAGCTCCAGGGTCACATCTGTGTATTCCCGGGGCCACTTTATGACCCGACCAGTCCCACGTGATTGTCCTGTGCTAGTGTGCTGGGACCCGCCAGGATGCCAACCTTCCTCATGGGCATAGCATGTGTACACATGAGAACCACGTGCACCAGGTAGAGGGAAAGCGCAGGACTTGGCCCTGAGGGAGAGCTTGTATTTAGGTTTCCCCTGGGCCAGAGCTGTTATAGTTGGTGTTCCTAAGGAGTCACACCTCTCCCTTTGTGCAGGACTTTCTGTACCCTGGGCACAGGTGCTCTGGAAGTGCCCAAGGCATCCCGTCTCAGCTGTCTCCCCAACCACAACAGTGCCCAGCAAGAGCTTCTGTGGGCAAAGCAGGCTCCACGCCTTCCCTATATATCACCTCCAGGCAATGGTCAGCAGGTGTGCAGGGGCCTTGCTAGCGTTAACTTAAAAATAAAAAGAACTTTTCAAGTGCCAGGCAACAAATATTTACTGAAATCAATGAGACTAGCTCTTCGGGAAACATTCACTCGGGCAGAAGTCCAAATAATGTCCCCATTAGGAAACAGAGGCAATGAGAGGGTACTTATGAGAAAGGGAAGGGGAGTAATGACATCAATAGAAGACAGGCATCTCTACTGGTGCAGGTAACGGCGCAGTGATACTAATTTTAAACAACATTTTTCATTTTCAGTCCAGTAGTCATCAGTCTAGTAGTCATAACTGCTTTATTGTTGTCTTTCCAAACAGTTCTTTAGGACACAAGGTTGCTCAGTCCCAGTCCAAAGGTTATTTTGCCCTGTTTTAACATTCCAAAGGATTGAGGTATAAGACATGCAAGGCAGTGCCTCTGGCCCGGCAGCTCCACCCCATTGTAAAGTGGCTCTGTTTCTACCACTCTTTACACTGGAAATACACTTGGGCTGCCAAGTCCTTCCTGCATCCTTCTGTGTGCATATCCCTCTGACTCCCTCTGTGCGAGGACCATTTAATTCGCCCTTTTCCCATGGTGGAGCCCCCTTATGACATCCCACCTCCAGTCTCACGACCACTGGGTCTTCCTGAAGCTGCACTGGCCACCTCCACTGTCTCTGTTCCGTGCAGCAACTCTGAGGTCCCTGCCAAGATGTTCCACTCAACAGAAGCACCACTTACAAGCCAAAAAGAAGTGAAGGCCACTCCCAGTGGGCTCCTTCTTTGTGCTGAGCGGGGATGATCAGAATGAGCCACCAAGTGCACGTCTTTTCTTCCTGCATAGGCGTCACTGGGCTGTCCTAAGGCCTAGGACAGCCCAGGGAACCATTCCAGGTCACCCTGATCAGTAATGGCTGAAGGGGGACTTGCAGAAAGATTAGAATTGGGGACGCTGCAAAGGGTTCCCTGCTCATTCGATCATCTCCTTCCCTGGTGCATCCCTGCTCCTTGTGGCACCCAGCCCGGCTGACACTCTGGACTCGCTGGGAGACCCCGGGTCAAGGTAACTCCCACGAAACATTCCTCCCCCTTCCTGAGGGCAGGGCTGACCCCTAAAGCCTTGCTTTTTTCTTATGGGACAAGGCTTATGAGGAACTGCCTGGTTCCAGATACACCAGTGATGGCAGCAAGTGCCAGTGGGGACTCACAAAACCCGTGCAGATTCCGCCAGGACTCCCAGAATATTAACCATGGTGAACCTCATAAAAGGTCATCCTTTTTTTTCCAGTCAAGCAGTTGGGCATCTGAGTCAGTAAGACTTGGGTGAAGCTGAGACACTCAGGTTCCGATCCTCCAGGAGGAAGGGAACCCTAACTGTGGAGGAAGGTGAAGCCGATCCCCCAGAGAGATGGGGGTAGGGGATGACAGGCATTGCTTGAAGTCTGCATGACACCCACAACCTCTTTGTGGTCTCACATTTTCTCTTAATCATTCATTCTACTCTGTTCATTTTTTTAAATGTTTTTATTTATTTTAGAGAGGGGGAGAGAGAGAGAGAAACATTGATGTGAGAGAGAAACGTTGATCTACTACCTCCTGCACATGCCCTACCAAGGACTGAGCCTGAAACCCAAGCATGTGGCACATGGGATGCTGCTCAACCAGCTGAGCCACACCTGCCAGGGCTATTCCATTCATGTTTGAAACTTGTTTGATGATTTTAATTGCTTTACATTGCTCACCATTGAGTAAAATCAACATGCCTGGGAGGAACCTCAGGGTGAGTCTCTTGTGTGCACCCTGGGAACACTGGCCTCAGGCTGCGGAGGGACAGGTTTGAGGAGTTCTGTCTCCAGGAAGGTGGAGAAGGCAGGGTCACCGTGGGGCTCCCGGACAGAATGAAACTCTCTGGGAAACAGGGGCTGCCAGGAGATGGAAGGGGCCACAGTTTCAGGAACCCCTCAATTTTAAACCCAGACTTCTCTGTCCAGGTCATAAGCACATTTTTATGCTGATGAACAGCCAAATACCAAAATTATCTCAGAACCCAATCCTTAAGTGGTTTGACCTTTATTTAGAAAGAAAGAATAGCACTTCTATTGCTAATTTAGAGGGGTTTAGATAGACGCAGCCTGGAGAGGAGAGGGATTGTTACTTTCAGTCTCTCTGAACAGGCAACAAAACCCAGCTCTAAGGAGACAATAATACGATGCACGACCACTAGAGGGAAGTGCAGACGTGGCTGGAGCCAAGTCCAGGAGGGGAGGAAAGGGCTGCCCAGCCTGCGGTAGGGGGACACTCGGGCTAAAATGAGAAATGCGAGGGCAGTACCAGGCTCCACCCCGTGTGCCTGGGGCTGGGTGGCCGTGGGAGAGAGGCGTGAGGTGGTTTCAGGGCGCTGCAGAGAGCATGGTGCTGTCGAGCGGTAACCAGGTACCAGGGAGATCAGCCCTGGTTCCGGCGTGGATGCAGGTCACTAACCCCCCGGAGGTGGAGCCCAGGGCTCCAGGTGAAGGGCTGTGGTGACGGTGGCAACTGTGGGCTGGGGATGACCATGTGGCCTTGGGCCAGCCTCCTTCCTTCTTGGGCTGCACAAGGACTGTGAGCTTCCTCCGGGTGTTTCTCGTGCATAGCCCTAGACCTTCCGAACGTGGCCCAGACAGACTTACTGCGCTCCCCTCTGGTCCCCTTCTCTCTTGCACACCCTACAACCCTCAGTCCTTAACCTCTGCCCCCTCTGCCCAGATGTCTCCTCCCATCCCCTTTCCCAAGGATTCGCTGCCTTCGCTATAAAAATAATCACATTTCACCGCCATCAATCCCTCTGGGTTCTTACCAACTTTGAAGGAAGACTCAGGAGTCCACAGCTGTACCACCCCTGAGCCGAGTCCCTAAGGCTCTACTAAGTGGGATAAGGGGCTCCACCTCACCTCAGTCTCTGAGAGCCGAAATACTGCCGCCAAGTGCCACCAAGTCTACACAACCGTGCAACTGAAGGGGACCTGACGACCCACCTCTTTACCCATCTAGGGCACAAAGTGGACAAGAAATCAAGGAGCAAAACATACACCCAGGTGCTTGACTCATTTTAACATGTTCGTGGGCGCCCCAAAAGTACATGCCTTTCCACCACTTGAGTTCCAAACCAACTGACAGGCAGGCGAGACAGATGGGCACCAAAATACCAGCTTTCTTCCTGGTAAAAGCTGGATGTGTGCCAAAAAAACATTCCTCAGTCTGAACCCCGAAACTGGGCTTAGCCTCAAGGTCTCAGTCTGCTCCAATCAACCACACCCCCCACACTCCAGGCCGCTGGCCCTGTGCCCTGGAGCTGGGAGGAGCACAGAGCCCTGGCCTCTCCAGCAGGATGAGCCCAGGAGGCCAACAAGGAGTGGACCCACCCTCACAGAGCTCCCAGCCTGAGTCTCCCCAGGAAGAGGGGAGGGCAGGGGGACCCGGAGTCCTGCCGACTGAGGGGCCCCTCCTGGAAGGGGACGTTGGTGTGGGGCCTGAGGGTTCCCCCTTAGTTCCCTGGTGCCCCCTCCTCTCCGTTTCTGCGTCCACAGAGGCGCCGGGTCTTTGTCCTCCGGCCCAGTGGCTGCTGTTGCTGCTGCTCCTTCCTCCTGCCTGTGAATTCTCAGGTCCCTCTGCTTTGTCTCAGGGACAAACTCTGTCCCCACAGGGTCTCCCAGGCTGGACACTCAGCCCACCACTGACATCCGAATGGAAGCTGCTCCTGGGGAGGCTAAGGGAGCCTGTCCCCTTGGCACGTCCTCTGCCCCCTGCCCCTCCTCGGTCGCTGCCTCTGTGCTCTCCAGGTTTCCCGGCCCC